TTCAACACAAAAGCTAATTCCTTTGACCATTGTACAGAACTGCACAATTGCCTAGGGGTATTATGTGGCTTTTTTGTTGTGTCTTACTCCAATTCATCAGGTACTGACCACTGGTAGAAGACAAAAGATTGGATTTACACGATTGACCAGTACTCTAACCAAGAAAGATAAAACCTGTGGAAAATTAGTCCTAGGTGGTGGAAATGCAGCAGACATTATATAATCTGTGTAAATACTAAGACTGTGGGCTTCTCTGCATTCTTTTCTACATGCCCAAGCATCCATCTGAGTAGTGACAAAAGTAGCAAGTGCAAGATTTCTGCTGAGTAAGCATATTTGGAAGGCACCTGCAGCTGGAATTGCAAATTGCGTGCAAAGAGAGACATTTCAAACCACATAAGACTTCAGGTCCTTTTAAAAGTCCCCCTCCAGAAACAGGTTTGCAACAGTAAACTCATTTCTAAGAAGTCATTGCACAATTTCTGAATCTAACTGCACATTAATGGTTTACTACATATTTTAATTCTGGTTGGAAGCAGTGTACGTAACAGAGGATTAAAAAAAAAAACAGACCTTTTGGTTAGAACCTCTCAAAAGCATACCAAAGCCTGCAAATCCTCTGAAAATGTCCCCTAATCCATAGGATGCAACTCTTTCTGTGCCATCACAACTTTTCTTTTCCTATATCTTGAGGAAAGAGAGAGCACCCTTGACCACCAGAGCACCATGCATCTTTAGGGGGAGATGATGTACTCTCTTTAAGCAGCAGACTTTCACACATGTCTCTTCCCCCCATACCCCTCCAGCCATTGAACTTGTTTGGATAAAACCTGTGGGGTACTCTACGTGCTAACTGGCAAGGTATCAACAGGTAAAGTGCCAGATTATCTGCTGTGCTTCCATGACACTATGTTTAAATCTCCTATGCTCAGAAGCCCCAGAGTGCACTATCCTACAGTGCAGTGCAATACTTCTAAATGGATTTGACACCAAAAATTAAGTATTGGTGATTAGTTCTAGGATCAAACTTTTCAAAACATCTAAAGGTTTGGGTTTGATTTGCTTCTAAGAATAGGAAATTGTTCAGTCTGATTCTTATCTGCTCCTAACTAATCCAGCCAGCTCTAATTATTTTTCATTTGTTTCCATGTATGTTTTTGTATTAAACAGCATAAAATAAGAAAACGTGCATTTGCATGCTGAAGTTATATAAAAATGTTCTGAGAGCTTCTAGTATCAAAAATGTTATATAAATGGTATTATCTTGTTATTTTCTGGATTGTTTTTAAAAATATCAAGTTAACATTGTTGATTATTTCCAGCCCTTTGAAATAGAACACTTAAAAAGAACATTTAAACCACTCTATATGGCTGGAGACAGACAAGGATGGGCAGACTGTGACAACTAGAGAGAAAAGAACCAGGAGGAATTCCAAAAGCCGTAAGTTTCCAATCCTTGCTGTGTCCTCAGTGTGGAAACTACAGAAGATATCTCTGACCATCCAGCTGTTTGACTGGAACAGAGAGATGTTCACCGCCCACCTGTGGATGACTAGTCAGTCCAACCTATAGGAAACATCAAGCATGTCCACAAAGAGATATCCAACCATTCAAGAATACAGACAATACTAGTTGGAGATTCTATATCAAGAAGAATGGGAAAACATTCTGCAAAAGACAGGCAGACAACAGAACAGTGTGCTGTCCTCCTGGAGCCAAGACACGAGACATGACTAAGATTGCACAGCCTTCTGAAGCGTGTGGGGAAGTAAGAATCTGATGGTGATGGTGAATATGGATACTAATGATGCTGCCTCACAGGATACCTCACAGATTACAGATGACTTTAAGGGAACTCGGAAAGGTGCTGAAGAAGAACGTCCAAGTGATCTTCTTGGAGATCCTTCACTCCCAGGACAGGAATTAAGAGAGAAGATTCTGGAAGTGAACCACTGGCAAGGTAACCAGTGTCAGGTGGAGGATTTTGGTTTTGTGGAACATTAGTCCACCTTCTGTGGGAAGAGAAAAGTTTGAATGGCTTCCATCTCAGTAGCAGGGAAACCAATCTTCATGGAGACAGGATGGCTAGACTATTAGGAAGACACAAAATGAACAATAAAAGGGGAGGGTGAAAAGAGTGGGCAAAAGAGGAGGGGGACTAGCACTATGTCAAAAATGGCATTACCGGTTTCCAAGCTCCTGACAACTTGGAAACAAATGATGTTGAATGCTTATGGATCAATGTTTTAACTGATACATTACAAGATGGAGTGTTAGTTGGTGTCTGCTATACACCACTAAATCACACTAGAGAATAAGATGACCTATCTATAAAGCACTTGTTCATTATGTGAGTAGGAAAAAAAGCTGCACTACCATAGACTTCAATCTGAGTGACTGCTGCCAGTATGACAATGAGGACATGGAGGACTTTTACATTAGATCTCATCTTGACAGATAAAGAGGAATTGATCACAAAACTAAAAATTAGTGGCAGCATATGTACCAGTGATTTTGACTTGGTTACACTTGCAATAGAGTCCAAACCAAAACATATATACTTGGTGCTTTAAAATGGTCAATTCATAAAGCTGAAAACAAGTATAAGCAGATCAGTTGAGAGAAGGAATTTAAACCAAAACAAAGTCAATGTTAATTGGGAACTGTCTCAGAACATTTTACTAGAGGCCCAAACAGGCATGATCCCATAACGGAGAAAAAAACCAATAAACCTGGTTTACAGGAGAAGTGAAAGCAGCTCATAATTTTATATAAATAAATAAAACAAACGGAAGAAAGAAGTTGATGGTGATGAATATAAATCAGAAGCTAGCAATAGTAGAAAGTTGACAATGGAAGCAAAAGGACCAAAAGAGAAACCTATGGCAAGCAGAGTTAAGAACCATAGGAATGCTACTGGTCCATTATTAAATGAAATGGTAGAACTGTCAATAATAAAGCAGAACTGTTCAATAAATATTTCTGTTCTGTATTTGGGAAAAAAAGTCAGAGGATATATTCAGATCATATATTGTGGATGAAATACTTTCCTTTTCAACAGTCACTACAGAGGGTGATACACAGCACTTACTGAAGCTAGACATTTTAAAATCAGCAGGTCTGAATAACTTGTATCTGAGAGTTTTAAAAAAACTGACCACGAAATTCTGTAGACCATCAGCATTGCTTTTCAATAAGTCTTGGAACACTGGGAAAGTTCCAGAGGCCTGGAAGAAAACTAATGTGTGCCAATATTTAAAAAGGATACCTGGAAAAAGCTGGATAATTGTAGACCCATCAGCCTGACATAGGTCCCAGGCAAAATATGGGAATGGCTGTTACATGACTCAATAAAGAATTAAAAGAAGATAATGTAATAAATGCCAATCAACATGGGTTTATGGAAAACAGACCTTGTCAAACTAACTAGCTTTTTTTGAGAAGGTTACAAATTTTGCTGATAAAGGTAATACTTAGGAGTATTGCAAGTCATTTGACTTGGTATCATGACATTTTGAAAAAGAAAATAGAATGATACAAAAATCAGTGTGACACATTAAATGGATTAAATAGTGGCTAACTATTAAATCTCAAAATGTAACTGTAAATAGCGAATCATTATCGAGTGTTTCTAGTGGGTCCGGAAGGGATCAGTTCTTGGCCCTATTCTATAACTTTTTTTTAATCAATTATCTGGAAGAAAACATTGCATCATTACTGATAAAGTGTGCATATGACAAAGATTGGAGGAGTGGTAAATACTGAAGATGACTGGTCACTGTTAAAGAGCAATCTGGATGGTGGGTGCAAGCAAACAATACACATTTGAAATGCAGGCAAATGTAAAGTCACATCTAGGAACAAAGAATGTCAGCCATATTTATGGGAAGGCGGAGTCTACACTGGGAAGCAGCGACTCTGAAAAGGATTTCAGGGTCCTGGTGGATAATCACCTGAACATGAGCTGTGGCCAAAAAGATTAATGTGATTCTTAGATACATAAATAGGGGAATATCAAGTAGAAATAGAGAGTTTATATTACATCTGTATTTGGCACTGGTGCAACTGCTACTGGAATACTGTGCCCACAGTTCTGGCATCACAATTCAAGAAGGATGTTGATAAATTGGACACAGATTTTTAGAGAGTCATGATATTGCCTTCTGACCTTAGTTTAACCTCTTGCACATTGCAGGCCACACAATTTAGCTCAACCACTCCTTTAATCGACCCTTAACTTCTGGCTAAGTAACTGAAGACCTCACATCATGATTTAAAGACTTCAAGTTACAGAGAATTTACATTAGTTTAAAACTGCAAGTGACCCCGTGGCCCATGCTGCAGAGGAAGATGATGGTGAAAAAGACGGTTCAAAGGAGAACCACAAGAATGTTTAAAGCACTGGAAAACATACCTCTCAGTGATAGTCTTAAGGAGCTCAATCTGTCTAATTTAACAAAGAGAAAATTAAGGGGTAAGATGGTCACAGGATCTATATGGGGAGCGATCTATAAGGGAAATATAAATTCGATAACCGAGGGCGCTTCAGTCCAAGAGTCAAAAATAACACAACAAGATCTAATTTCTGGAAGCTGAAGCTAGCCAAGTGCAGACTAGAAATAAGGTACAAATTTTTAAACAGTGAAGGTAAGTAACTATTGGAACAAATTTACCCAGGGTTGTAGTGGATTATCCACCAATGGAAATTTTAAAATCAAATCAAGATTGCATGTTTTTCTGAAACATATGCTCTAGTTCAAACAGAAATTCAGGGAAGTCCCAGGGAAGCCTGGGTTACACAGGTCAGATTAGAGGATTATAATGATCCCTTTTGATTTTATAATCTACAAAACTCTTAGCGACTAGTGTCATCCATTACCATTTGCCACTGCCAAATTCCTTATTTTCCTACACTAGATTTAAAAATGTACTGTAAGTCTTGGAAATGAAGAGATATATAGCTGCACATAGTTTAAAAGAGGAACAATAAGATTACTTACCACATGAAGAATTTTATTTTCTGTTTCGTATACTGTGCAATCCTATAGCAAAGAAAAAAAAAAACAATGTGTGAGATTTAAAATCTTAGCCCTACACACGAGCTATTATTTTTCTTTTTAGTAATAATTTAACACTTTACACTGTTAGAATATGTCTCTTGCATTCACACACACACAGAGCGAAGTCATCTCTCCAGGCTTTACATGAATGTCTAAAGGTTATTCTGTTTTCTCTGGGAAACTTCACTGCAGTAACTTCTCATTAACCTTAGGGATCTATTCTATTTATAGGGCTATAGTTTTTGTTCTTTGTAATGGGAACTATGCACCTGTATCAGGGGGAGAAGAGATCATTAATATAAGCAGAGAGATGTACGCAGAAATGCACTATCATGTAAATGTTAGTGACCATTTAGACCTAGACAGTCATGGCCTAGTCCTAAAGTTCTCAATCAGGCAAAAAAAGTTGACGACTTTAATATTTTTTCTTTAGTAAAGACTATAGTGTCAGGTCCCCAGCCAGTGAGTACCCCCCACCCCGCCCACTTTTTATTTATTTATTATTAAATATGTACCAGATGGCATGACTGAATGATGGGAAGACAAGGTGTTTCAGGGAATAGACATAATTTTTTAAGTCTTGTTTGACCTTCACCAGATTGCAGGTACCATATTTGACAATCAGGGGTCTTCTGCTTTGAGCTCAAATGCATTATATATCACAACAAGTTTGTTATATTTTTGGACATTTACAAGTGAAAAGGCAGATATCCCACCTTGAGTTATATTTACAGATTTCTGTGAAACAAAAGCAGATTATTATTGTTATTCATTATTTATATTAACATAGCTGCTAGGAGCCCTTGTCAGGGACTAGGATCACAACTTGCTAGGCACTATTCAAACACTGAACAAAAAGATGGCCCCTGCCCCCACAACCTTATAACCTAATTATGTCAAAGAAACTCATACTACAGATATTATAGTACAATATAAAAACCACCCCACATTACTTCTAAGGTCAGTTTTTCAAAAAAAGCCATAATTTTTTGCCCATCGTTTTGGGTACACAAGGGTTTCTCAATCCTTTTTCTTAGCAAGAACTACATTTTAATAGAGAGATTGTCTCACAGATAATTCTTCACAAACCACAGTAAGTATCTAAGCTTGAGTTTAGCATACAGTGAGGCAAACTATGTTGGAAAGACATGTGACGCTGTTGAGATAAGAGTAATCTATTTTTATGTACTTATTACTGTTAGGGACTCTTTTTAGTGGCCTCTAATTTTGCATTTAAAACTCAATCATTTGCTCCTGGAAAAGATAAAATGTGTGTGAAAACGTATTTGTTCTTCCAAATCTAGCCCTCCATCTTCTATGTGGTTTGTGCATATTAAAACTGTTTTTGTGAACAACTGGTCTTTTGCAAAAGAAATATTTGTGAAGGCAAAGTTGTGGGCACACATTTAGATGACACACTTCCTCTACTTAGAAAATGTTGCTCTTACAAGTCAAAATGTAGCACAACCATACTATCTTATGATTGATGTAACCTATTTTATTCTGGAAAAAAAAAAAAAAAGAAAATCTTTAATGCACTCAACCATAAACATAGCACAGTGGAATTACTTGCACCTGGATTTGTGATGCTCTTCATTTAGAAGAGAGTTGCATTTCTCTGTCATTTCCCTGACAGCAGAGATGTTATGCTTTACAAAGCCAGCAGGATTTGCTCGCACTGGAATTGAGGTTGCCACTGAAAATAGTGACAACAGGGATTAGTTTTCATATTTCTTGTTGACAGATTTTTTTTCTAATAGAATCCATCTTATTTTAGGGTAGGTGAAATGCTGACCCTAATTAAACTACTTGGCATTGCCTCTTAAATGGTAAATGGATAGGAAAGAAGGGGGACTGTCAGCTTTATTCAGTGCAAAGATGTTATAATTGCAAATGACCACAAAGAGGTAAATAAAATGTACCTATTTATTTTTTGGGTGGATGGGAGTTGCTTACAGGAAGAGAATAGATTATCTTGGATATGAAAAGGAAATAAAGATCCAAAATGTTCCTGTCTCTTGTTCAGTTATACAGGAAGGGCTTGTGGAGCCTCTTCATGGATCAGAAACAGTTGTAGTCCCATCACTTAGGGCCCACAGAAAGGAGCAGGCTTCTCCTTCCCAAGGGCTAGTGCAACATGTGCACACATCAGGGATCAGGCCCCCTGAAGAGCAATCCCTCCCCAAGCTCCCTGTGACAGAGTGGCTCCATGTTACTCTAACAAATGCCTGAACACCACAATCTGGATCAAAATCTGTATTGACAGTAGATTTCTAAATACTTAAGAAGTGCATTCACACTTCTTAGCTCATTTATCATAGCAAGGAAAATGAAACTTGTCACTCTTGGTCAAAGGCTACTACTCCTTCAGCTCACACTTTGATTGCATTCCATTACAGGTGGTTGGTCTGTTAAGTGTTTTTCACTAGACCAAGCACATACTTTGATTTCCAAGAATAGAGCTTGGGAGAACATAAGCCCTAACTATAAAAAAATAAAATATTGAATATTTGCAGGTCAGATCAAATTATCCATCACCATAACAATGAAACAGCCCTGTCTTCACCTCTCTTTTCATGACAATACGCTTCAGAGCAACCAGATTTCTGCCCAACAGAGTTACATACAATATTAATACCAGGCAGTTACGTGCTCAGCTTGTGAAGCTGAAGACATTGGTTTTAGATAGTAATGTTGAACAGCATGGCATAAAGATATATGGACACAGGCATGCTGCACAAGCCGTAAAATACCATTTTATATCCTACTGATAGGACAAGCAAAACATTTGGGGTCAGATAAGACTATACACGTTTCAAAACCAATTTTTTCCCCTCTGGTGTAATTAGACCAGTTTTGAAAATGTCACCTCATGAAGGTTCCCCAAAAAGAGAGAGAAGCAATTGTGGAATGAAGATGGCATAGATAAAATCTGAGAAAGAGAAAGAAATTTTGCTACTACACAGCTGAAGTACAATTGGGATTCTGGGGAAGCATGAAGGGGCCTGGGATGCCTCAACATGGCTGGCAACTCGTCTGAATTTTTCATTCTCCAGCAGAAAAAGTCAGTCCAACAGCTACATAATCAGCTCTGCATATCATTTCTTGAAAGTAGTCAGATATATTTCCTTGAATGTAAACTTTATTCTTTTACTACACTGACACCCACTTCAAGGTCCCTTTACTCTAGGAGGATGGTGTAAAGGACCTTCAGCGTAAACAAGTGGTAGGCCCAAACTGCTGTATCCCGTTAGAAAGAGGAGATTACCACTTCCTTATTACTAACATTGATGGTTCACTAAACGTGGGCCCTTAAATCTGTCACTGGTCAAGATGTGACTATTGTTCATCCTGTACTTTAGCCCAGTAACATGATTTGGGAAAATAATATTTTCTTTGCTTGAAACTTCTGGTGATTTAGAATGTTGATAGAGATAAATTTGTGAGCAGACTGTAGAGGTAAGAGATGGTTACTCACCTTGTACAATAATGGAGGTACTTGGAGATGTGAGTCCCTGTGGGTATTCCACTTTAGCTGATTGTACACCCTTTGCCCCTAGTTGGATAATTTTGACAGCAGTAACTGGCTGGGCCACACATGCGCTCTCCCCATCTCGGACCTGCAGCAGCAATTAACTAGCGCTGCATCCCCCACCTGCATGCCCCAGTTCCTTCTCTACCGCAGAGGAATTAATTAGAACTCCGAAGTAGAGAAGAGGAAGGTGGGTACAGGAGCACCCACAAGGGCTCACATTTCAAAGAACCTCAGTTACTGCACAAGTTGAGTAACCCTCTCTTCTTCAAGTGGAGTCCCTGTGGGTTATATAGGTGGGGGTGCATGCCATGGTATGAAAAGTGCGTCGTCACTGAATCCTGATCCCAAAAGACCCACGCTGGAGCAAAAAGCTGGACATTTGTTTTGTTTTGTGGCAAATAGGTCTATTGCGGGGAACCCCCATAATTGAAATATGCTCTGGATAATGCAGGTGTTGATTTCCCACTATGGTCATTTGAGAACCTTCGACTTAATGTGTCAACCATGACATTCTGAGACCCCAGCAGGTAGGTGGCTGATATGGTTATGTTGTGTTGTATGCACTATGTCTAGAATTTTATGGAGTCCATCCATAGGGAGTGTGATCTTGCTCCTCCCTGCTTGTTTATGTGGAACATGCAGGCTACTTTGTCCGTCATGATCTGTACGTTTTTGTCTTTGATCAGAGGCATGAAATGTGCACAGACATTGCAGACTGCGTGTCGTTCCAGTACATCGACGTGGAGTGTTGATTCAGAAGGAGACCCTCTTCCCTGTACTGTGAGCTTGACTAAGTGGGTACCCAACCTCAGTAGAGAGGCATCCCTTGTGATTATCAATTCTGGAGGAGGTTGAAGGAAAGGGACAGCAGCACAGATATTGTGTGGTTGAGTCCACCATTGTAATGAGTCCTTGACCTTCATTGGCATACTCAGAAGTTTGTTCGGATTGTGTTTGTGTGGTGTGAACACCATCCTGAGCCAACCCTGCAAACAGCATAAGTGTAGTCTGGCATGTTTCACCACATATGTGGTCGCTGCCACGTGACCTAGTAGCTGAAGACAGGTCCTGGCTGATATCCTTGGGCTGTGCACTGAGGTATTGATGAGGTTCATTAGAACAGTGAATCTCTGAAGAGGTTTTGATGCTGTTGCTTCTAGATAATTTACATACATGTCGATTAAGTCTAGTTTCTGGATTGGAGTCAGTGTGGGCTTTTCGGAGTTTATTTGTAGGCCGAGACTGGTGAAGAGCGACATTGTCTGGTGCGTAACTGCAACGGCTTCTGCCTGAGTGTGAGCCTTGATTAGACAGTCGTCTAAGTAGAGATATATCATGACCCCATGCTTGCGAAGATGGGCTGCCACCACAGTAAGGACTTTGGAAAACACTCGGTGGGTTCGTGGAGAGGTCAAAGGGTAGTAGTGTATATTGAAAATGATCCTGT